ACCGAGTTGGCGGCTCCGCGGAGGAAAAGGAGGAGGAGCGGAGCCTGGGACGACGTGAGCATCCAGCGAGGCCAGGCCCCGGCGGGAGAGGAGCCCGGGACGCACTGCCGGGCGGGGAGAGGAGCGCGACCGCAGCGCAGCGGAGGGCGGGGAGGGTCGGGGACCGCGAGATGGGGAAGCGCGGCGGGGCTGGCTCCCGGGCGCTCGGCGTCGCTTCCAGTGAGAAGTAATTTCTCCCCGGCCTCGGCCGGTACAGACATCAAAAATAACAAAAGTTAAAACGGGTTGTCGCAGAAGTTTAAAGTGACCACCGACTGCCTTGGAAGCTACTCAGAATTAAGACGACGTCGCTCGCGGACTATTGAAGAAGAGACAGCCGCCTAGGTGCCGGGGCTTTAGTGATCCTGGAGTCACCACTTGCGCGTGCCCAGCTGGGACAGGACGGCGGGGGCGCAGGAGGAGCGGGGAGCGGTCGCGAGGATGTCAGGATGCAGAGGAGACACCCCAGCCTGAGGGACGCGGTGACAGCAGCCCTGTGCCGATACTGTCCCCAGGAAACAGCTTCCAAAAGGCGGAGCCTCACGGTTCCTCTCACTGACCCTGGGGGCACCTTGCTAAGCCCCTCCAGATGTTTTCGTTTGAAAAGGAATTCTGGCATCAAAATCGCGCTTACCTGAGAGCCGCTCCTCTGGACTCCTGTCGCCCTGGCACCGTCACGACAGTCCCTGCACGGATCGCCAGGAACCCATCCCAGAGCGTCCTCTTGCACACTCTGCCCTTCCGACCAAGTGAAAACTACTCATGTCCCTCCCTCTCCAAACTTTAACAGCCAAGAATTTCAGCAAACAGCCAGAAAGAAAGCTAAGTCCCCCCACCCCAAGGGAAGGGAGGGAATAAGCACTCCTTTAATTTGAAAAATAATAATTAAAACTCCCTCAACCTTTAAGGCCGGGCAACACAATCTATTAATTGGTCGCTATTAACATGCAGTTTTATTGACCATAGCACACAGAAGTCTGATTGTGAAGGAGGAGTGTTTTCAATGAGAGTGGAGTTATTTTAGCTGCAGACGTGTTTACATTTCTGTGGTTTAGTCTATAACTTTCTCTTTTTCTTGCTTCAGAATTCTGCTCCATGAAGCAAAGCCCTTAGCTCCCAGACATTCCAAAAAGTCTGCCAAAATAATAGAAAAAAAGAGAGGGAAGAAAAAACACACAGAGACCCCCAAGTCTGGGTCAGGCTCAGGGTTGTAAGTGGGCATCTTAGGTATGCCCCCTTCCCACACACTTTCCAGTTTCAAAAAAAAAAAAAAAAAAAGCCTTCAGGGCTCCATTTCCTGTTTGCTGGGGAAAAATAAAATGGGTCTAAGCAGCTGAGTCTAGAAATTGCCTTCTCCAGGACCTATAGATTCTGAGAGGGTCTTTAACCCTAGAAATGCCAAAATAGGCTCATTCATTTGAGAATCTATGGTTACAAACTCTGCAAGGGAGTGCTTCTCTTTTAAATGGACAGCCTTCATGAAACTACAAATGCATTCCTAGGAAATTTCTTGAACAAGCAGGCACATCCTGGTAGATGAGATACAAGCCCACCTCTCCACAGGAGGCCAAGAGTTGAAACAAATAAAAGTAAATACTGAAAACAGTGCAGGCTGCGGACAAGGTGCATCCCTTTCTTTCTGAGCTGGTAAGAAAAAATAGCAGACTGCACGTTCAAAGGTGCCTATTTACTCACAGGGTCATGCCAGTTTATTTAGTCCGTGCTAGATGTATCATTTGCAAAACTGATTTTTTTAGAATTGCTCCCCAGTCACCCAGAAGTCACAGTGCCGCTGTTCACAGGGTCTTCAAAATATATTCAACCTGCCTCTCCCCCTGACTACCAATTGCATATTTTGGTTCATTTTTCTCTCTATTCTCCAAATATTCCAGATCCAAGAAACCTCACTGTGTTTTGAAATTTTTCTCTTAGCCACTAATTTCCAAACCTCACCACGGGGAGCCCTTAACATTTCGGGGAGCGCTTTAAAGTGAACAGATAGAGTCTCGACCTGTCCCAACGATCTCGGCAGGCCACTGGGCAGTAGCTCTGCTCCACAATACTACGTTACCCTGGCGACGTTCCCCGATTATCCTCACTAGTGCCTAATATTATAATAATATAGAACAGTACTGAAAATTATATTGTGTGCCAGCTGACAGAGCGTGTTTTATGCATGAAGAACTGCACTTTAATAGTAGAAAGAGCATGATGTCAACAACCCAAGTTACCACGATTGAGAACAGGAAAAAATGTGTTCAGAAGAAAACACAGTATTTGAAACAATGTCATTGCTACCTAGATGATAGATGACAGAGATCGATGAGAGAGAATTTTTTTAAAGGCACACACTGAGCCCGCTCACAAAGCTGAGGTCATTAACTTTGGAAATTCCCAGAGTATTGCAGGGTTCGGACATCATCTCCTCCAACCGACTGTATCTTGTTGAAGTTAGGAAGTTCTTTCTATTGTCTAATCTAATCCCCACCTACTACCACAGCATTCCCTCAGCCTGCTCCATAATCAAGGCCAAATATAGAAAATCAGTTTCAGCTAGTTAAATGGATTGAGTTAATTTGAGAGGCCGACAGCACACAAGTAATGGAGACACATTTACTGTCTGTCTGTTTTGCAGGACAAATAGGAGATACGGTAATTCTAAATTCATAAAAATATCACTTAAAAGGAAGGTTTTTTTTTTTATAAACATGCCACTGGACACACTTTATAAGAATTAGTAGTTTTAAGTATTTCATACATGAGATAATCTTCTTTCTATATAAGGTTTTGTGGTCGACTTAATTCTTTTTGAAATCCCTTTTATCCGAAAGATGTTTTGGATTAATTTAAGTATTTGTTACTGGATAATGTCAAGTTCTTGTTCAATGAAATGTCCTGTGCTGGGTTGTCACACCTGTTAAATATAAGCCTCCTTTCCTTTTGATATTCTGAGAAGGGCCTTAAAAGGTTTACATCCTTCAATATGGAGATTTAATTGCTTTACCTATAATAAAAATAATCCCTATAAAATTCAGATTGTGGCTATTTCAAAGCCGAAAGAACTATTGGGTTGGGATGTAGAGGTTGCAGTTCAAAAAGCCTTCCACTTTTAATATAACAGGCACGGAGTTATGAGTTATAAACCCCTGGTTATCATTTCGTAAGGTCTGGTCTTTGTCGTCCTTGCGCGGCGCGCCTGCGAGCTCTCTTTATGGCTTAGCAGTTAGCTGTGCGTGTGCGCGTGTTAAATGTGGAAAGGGTAGCGGATCCCTCTGCGGTAAGTGCTCACCAGGGAGGAAGTCTCACATTCTGCTTTAAATGAGGTACTGGAGTGAGATCCCCGCACTGACTGCCACGGTCACGTCTTTAGCGAGCTCACCGGGGCCCGAGGCCATCGTGAAGGGTAGCCGTGGCTCGAGAAAGGAGGCAGCGGGCAGGCCTCACTTTTCAGTTGGTCACTTTTCAGTTGTCCAGGCCATGGGCGCCCTTCAGCATTCCTCTGGGCTTCCCGAGCCCTTCACCCCACGTCCTGACTCAGTCCACTGGGACCTTCTTGCCATCGTGGAGGTTGGGGGACAGGACCTTCCACTCCAAGATCCACCTTCCTTCAGGGCGATCCAAGACAGGGAAGGGAGGGGAACATGTGTCAGGACTCTAGCCTTGGCTTCTAAAAGTAGCCTCCGCGGGTCCCCCTGTCCGCACCACAATCCTCACCCCACTCCCTGACGCCTGTCCTTGATTTTGAGTGAACACGGAAGGACAGAGACGCACATTCTCTCGGAAGAGTCCGGGACCTACTACACAAGCGTTACTGTTATATTTTATCACCAACTGCTAAGAACTCCGTTTTCTGTGTTCTTTACCCCCCAGACTAGTTCCACGCAGCCCTTTCCATCCACGTCAGATGCAGTTCGTCTCCAGTGCACACAGCAGTTCCTAATAACACGTGCTGACCACAAACTGCTCCGTAAAATTGCATAATGCATAATTCCTATCAACTTGGATAATTCACAAAACAAGTTGATAAGAAACACATTGTTCTTCTGTCAGTGAGCGTTGGTGACAAAGGTTGTACAAATGAATCAGGAGACTGGATTTGTATTTTTTAAATGGAATTACATGCAGCACATCGGGAGATTTACTCCAGCTCCTCTGGCGATTATATTTAGGCAATTTTGCTTTTGAGCTTCATGTACTATGACACAATCTATCAATGAACAACTTTGTCATGTACGTTTTCCTCCACGCGATTACTCATGAGTGCAAAAGCAGCTGCCTTTTTAGAAAATAGAGACAATTTCTCAGTGAATTTTGAACTGATAAAGGCATTGGCCTCACAATGCATCAATGCAAATGAAATCAATATCTTAATGACTTCCTTTTAAGTAGCAAATGATTATCTTATGATTATGGATGGCTTGATATAATTTTAATGGGTGAAAAGTCAATTTCAGGTAGAACGCACAGACCGTGGGTAAGGAATGCATGCGAACAGGCATCCGGCACTTACCTTGACCTTGGCCAAGTCACAGCCTCTTGACTGAAGCCTCAATTTTCTTATCTACGAACTGGGGCTGTTGGAGTGGATGACCTGAGGCTAAACACAGGACCTCCCAGAGGAGAGCCTGGGGTATTCATCTTCACATCCCTATTTTTGGTATTGTGACTCATTCATTGATTAACTGGTAGCCTATTAGGAATCACACTCCTCTTGGATAAGCCCTGAGCACACACACACCTCTTGCTTCTCTCAGGCATGCATGCAGCAAGAGCAGAGCCCCCTGGGATGGGTTCCCTTACCTTGGGGTGCTATGCCCACCTGGTGCTGGGTGGGGAGCTGCAGTCTGCACACCAGTGAGCAGAGCCTTGCGTCCACNAGCGGAGCCTTGCGTCCACCACAAATCACTTTGGCAGCTTCAGAAGTAAGGCCATGGTCTGGGCCCCACCTCGGACTGAGTGAATCAGAATTGGGACAGTGGGACTGTGGCACTGATATGGATGCTTGCAGCTCCCCAGGTGATTGGAAGGAACAACCGCAGTTGAGGGTCAGAACTGTCAAAATTATGGTCATTAAACGAGTAATGAAATCTGAAATCTTCCGAGATAATTCTAGAAAAATGCACTTTAAAGATAAATTCTGTCACCCCAAACAGTTGCCTGGCCAGAGTCCCCTCTTCCTGTGGTTAGTGTCACTTTCTGCTCTGTCACTAAGTCCTAGAGTCTTGGAATTTCTTTCTCATTTTGGACTTCCCCTCCTGGAACGGCCTTCCCACCTGCATGCGGTTTGCCATGTACGAAGCACTTACACACACATTTGCCAGACAGGTGCCCTTCAGTCACCTCACGCAGTAGTGCAGGCCTGAGATGCCCCAAGTTCAAAAGGCGCCAAAGTGAGTCAAGACTCAAACCCAGACCTTAGGAGCTTTCGCCACATGGCCAGCTGGCCACCCTTCCTATTCGGAGGGCCTTCTGGACCCCTCCCGGGCGGCGCTGGGCCTGCTTTAGTTCCTGCCCTCCAGCCAGCCTTCGCTCCTCTCAGACAACACGCGTGTCTCGCAACCTCCTCATTCCCACAGTGGAACTATGACCATGTTTAGCTTCTGGTTCAGACCGTGAGCTTCTCGAAGCAACTTCAGTTTCCCACAACTTATATACAGCAGCTACTCAATGAGAACCGGTCTTTGAACCCTGCCCCTCACTTGCCCCATAGCTAGTCACCATGGGCCACACTGACCGCAGCTCCCACGGACACCCCCTTTGTCTATTCCCAGGGCCCAGGCCTGGGAGTTCAAGGTTTATGGCCTCATAGCTGGCCACTGGGGCACCTCCTAACCACCCATCCGCCACCTGGGCACCACACCAAGCACCATCTTGCCAAAGAGCCCTCACCTCATCACTCCGCAGCGCCTTCAGAGGCCTTCGGGAGCATCTCCTGCCTGTTGGGGAGATTCCAGATGCATGGCTACCTGTCCCCAGGTGAGACTTTGACAATCATGAACACAATTTGCAGAGGGACAGCTGCTCACCCCCAGACAGCCTTCCCTGTCTACCTGCCTGCCTGGAGTGGGGAGGGAAGTTAGGATTTATGGAAGAAAGTCCAGGAAGAAGATTCTGACATGCAGAACAGGACCGTGGAACAGGAGGAAAGCATCTCTTTCTAAGACCCCAGAACTTACCTGGCACTGAGCAAGCCCGGCACCCTATCTAGGGCACTCTCCCATGGTGTCAAGAACAGAGTCCCATGTGCCATTGAGATCTAGCTGGCGCCCCAGCTGGTGTGGCGCAGTGGTTAGAGCATGGGCCCACGGACTGAAGGGTCACAGGCTCCACTCCAGGCAGGGCACATGCGGGAGGCAACCAATGGGTGTGTCTCTGTCACATCAATGTTTCTCTCTCTCTGTGTGTCTCTCCCCCTCCCTTCTACTCTCTCTAAAAAAAATAAAAAATAAATGGAAAAAATATCCTCAGGTGAGGATTAATAAAACAACAAAAAAAGATCTAGCTGGGGAATTAGGATTCAGAAGAGCGGGTGATATAGGGGAAAGCCCACTGCCCTGAGGCCCCAGGATGGGTGGGAGAGACGGGAGGAAGTT